GATGGGGAAGTGGGCGCGCTGTGTTGTATATGTGATCAGTGCTAATAGTTGGAAGTGCGAAAAAAGACCGTTTGCTTTGGATATTGTAAAATTTTGTTCGCTTTAATACAATGTTGTTTAAGGCCACACAATACGTTTAAAAATACCATTGAAGAAAAGGTATTTTTCTTTTTTTTTGTCTTTGAGATTTAGTGTAACAGTTTTCCTAACGTTATACAATGAAGTCTTTTCATCATATTCCGTGATATGGTACCTATTTTATAGCATTGAGTAGTCTGTTCTTTGAAATAACCAGTAAAATGTGAAAGAGGGATGGGAGGGGGGGTGGGATTTGTTTATGTCTGACCTTTCTGAAAACCTTTGTGTCTGCTGTTGTGTAAAGAAGACTTAAAACTACCGTGATGTTGCTTAGTTATTGCAGAATATTGGGAAAAAATAAAAGCATAATGTCCAGGACACCTCGCTCATTTATTGACCACCAGTCATGTGTGAATCACCAGTGTACATCCTGAAAATACTCATTGGCACACAGCCCCCAGTTCTAAAGGATGTTATAGATGACATGGGAGAGATGAATACATAAACTGGTAGTGTCGTGCGTGCTGTAACAGAGATGAGCTTGGGGTGCCATGAACATGTAGAAAAGCTAATGTGACCAATCTTGGGTTGGAACAGGAAGAAGACATCACAGGGAGCCATAAAAATCCAAGAGTTGGCTTGGGGCGATTTGAAAGGGGCATCAGAGCGTACTATGAAAATTCTGTACATTGGGTACTTTTGGGATACTTAACCCAGCTGGGAGGAAGTGGCATTGGCAAAGGGAAGGGAGCATGATGGGGTGCAGTAGAAATAGGAAGTACACCTAAATCAGCTTGATAGCAGGGCAGAGGAGAGAGGGATGCTTGCAGGAAATAGGACATTGTAAGGCACTACAAAGATTAAAGATGTGACTGTCAGAAAACTCTGAGTGATATAACAGCCTGCGGTCTGCAAATCATATTGGAGTTGGGGAAAGGAGTAATATGGAGGCACTAAAGGCAGCGTGGACATTAGGGATAACATACTCTTCGCTGAACTATTAAGGATAAGTCAAGGGAAAGTGGAGAAAACGAAATGAGACGGGAAGGAGGTGAGCAGGGTCTAAGACATTAAAGGGAGGGAGTTATGTCTGGTTATATTGAGAACACACATGATTAATAATAATGATAATCCTGGAATAATGAGAAGAAATGGCTGAAGAAAAGCATACACTCTTGGATGAGGCAGAGAGATTGGGCCTGGGACATGCCTGAAAGGTGACCTGGCATTTCTCTCAGGAGCTACTGTTGGTGAGGCTGTACAAATTGGTTGAAAAGTGCAGTGCATGTGAGTCCACGGGGTGGGGCAGAATTAGCATTCTGACTTCCTTCAGCCAGTGTGGTAAATCCTGAGGACCATCTGGCGTGGTGGTGGCCCCTGGTATATACTACGTCATGCGGGATCCGCTGCCTACCCTCCTTTAACTTTCAGACTTACCTCATGGTACCAAGGATTCGATGCCCATCCCATCCATCCCATCACCAGGGCCTTCGGAAGCCTCTACCCCACCCTGCAGCAAAGGTGGAGATGTGGGGGTCGTCCCTCACATTCTTATCAGCTACAGGCAAGCAACACCCATAAGGAGCTGTGCCCCCCCCAAAGTGACCACATTTACCCCCTAAAACTCAGCACTTGGTGAACGAAGTCCACAAGGAAGGTGCCCCACCTGGCTTTGTGGGGCCCTGAGGCAGCAGTTACCTATCACACACAAAAGAGGGGCCAGAGTCCCTTCTCCTGCCTTTGCCTCCAGACTGTCCGACTCTGCTTCCTGCTGTGTGCAAGGTCAAGTCCCTGTGGACAGGTTGGCCGGCAAATGACTTCTGACAAGGGCTCAGGGACCCATAGAATGAAGCCTGCAGGCTAAGGGGCTTCAAAGGAAAGTAGGAACTATGACCCCCCCCCCTCCCCAGCTTCAAATTCATTCAGCAAACAAGGAACTAGAGCGCCCCCTGCGATTCGGGCAGAGCGACAGAAACTGGGCTGTGAAACATCAAAAGGCAGGTGCCTGGCCCTGGAGGGGCCATATTTCTCAATACCACCTCCAATGTAGACAGGCGTGAATCCGAGGTTCAGGTCACTAAGTGACTTTCCGGTCTAGAGCCACAAGGATAACAGTGACCTACCCCAAACAAGGCCCCAAGTCCATCCCACAAATGCAGAGAGTTGTCCTGCAGGCCACCTGCGGTCCCGCTCTGCCTGCCAAAGCACTCACAGGGCCTTGTCTGCTAAAGACGCTGGCGCAGTCAGTGCAGCAGGCCTCAGTAACCCCGAATGCAGCCTCGAATTCTCGTGGGGCCAGAGCTGACTACAAATCCTCCCCCTTTGACAGAAAGGGGCCCAAAGACATCAGACGGGCCCAGGCCAGGTAGCTCAGTTGGTTAGAGCATCTTCCCCTTACTCCAAGCTTCCAGGTTCAATCCCTGGTCAGGGCACATACAAGAAGCAACCAATGATTGCATAAATAAGTGGACACAAACTCTCTCTCTCTCTCTCTCTCTCTCTCTCTCTCTCTCATCAATAAATAACAATAAAAATGTCAGACAGCTCCAGGTGAGTCAGTAAGTGGGAGAGCTGCAGAGCACAGATGTACTGAGGATCTGCTCTGTACCAGGGGCCTGCCATATATTATCTCTGCAGGTCAGTAAATGACACACACCCCAATTTACAGGACGCACCAGCTAGCTCAGGGGAAGAAATACTGCACGTTCACTCCAATAATACCGGTAGGAGGAGCGAGCAGCAGGTCACCCTGGAAATTCTGCTCTGACTCCCTTTGCCAGATGGCTGAATACACACACACACACACACACACACACACACACACACAGGGGAGAAGATAGCTACGTGCAGCTGCAAGTGTAACATGGGAAGGGGAGGGGAGGGTCTGCAGTCTGGCCTTCAGGAGCTCAAAGTCCGATAACAAGGTGGCTACTTTTCTGTGATGTTACAAACAGCTCAGCCCTTCCTGGGACTGGAGAATGGTCAGCGTTCTTGAGAGAAACTCCCGAGGGGGTCAGGGTCCGGGCACAGCCACCAAATCAAAGCAGGTCCTGTCCTAGCTCTGTTCTCAAAATGTATTTCTTTTCTGAGTCAGGGATCCATGGAGGCATCTTATCTCTTGACAGCCTTGCTCCATCCCGCAGGCTCCCAGGGTCTGTAGGAAAACCTATCTAGAGTTGGTGAGGTCAGTAACTATTAGACAACTGTGGCTCCGTTCTCCTTCCAGGCCCTTCCCCACCATTATATCCTGTCTGAATCCATGTTTCCTTTGGCTCTGGTGGGCAATAGCCGTCCAAAGATCTCAATGGTTATTTGCAAGCGCGGGTCAAGAACCTTAACTCAGGCAGAGAAGCAGGAAAGGGGGGGAGGGCTGGGAGTCTGCCACCAGCTGCACTGACAAACCAGGACTGCTGGGCTCCTGAGGGCCCCAGGCAGGAGGCTCCACAGGGCAGGGCAGAGGGTTGAGTGACCTGGCCTCACCCAGCCAGGAAGCAGTTACTGCCCCAGGCCCATCCTTCCTCCCCTTGGCCTGGAGGTAAAGTGTGTCCCCACCCCTCCCCACCCCCTCCCCCTGCATTGGTGCTGCAAACAGTTAACCTTCATCTGATGAGCTCAACACTACACAGGGGCTGCATTTCCAGGGGCCATGACATGGACACAGGTCTGAGGGAGAGGCAGGAAAGGGTTCTTCTGGAAGGAGGTGAGGGAAACAGAATACTCATTGTTTCTTTTCCACAAATTCGCACATTCTTACAGTCCGTGAGCATCCAGATGGGAACCAGGCTGGGAGCCTCTGCTGTGTCAACCACCCGCCCAAGCTGCCCCACCACCCAGCACAGTTTCCACAGAGTGAGGTAGAAAGATGCCGTTTTAGTTGCCAGCACACCTCGAAGTGCACTGAGATTCTGGGTCCCAGACCCTCCAGTTGTTTAGGAAGCTCAGGTATAGAGAGCCCAAAGCCCAGTGCACAGCAAGACTGGCAGCTGCCATTCCCTGCGCGCCGAGGTCGGGCCAGACACTTTGATGGCTGCTGTCATGCCGTGTCTCTAACTCTGGCAGCATCAACAGGGTGGGCGCCCCAGGCCACGTTTACAGAGGAAGAACTCGGGTCAGATAGCAGAAGCAGGTTGCTAGGTTCCCCTGGTCGGTCACTGACAGCCTTGGACATGGATTCAGGGCCAGCCAAGGCTAAAGCCCCGACTGTTTTACTAAAACAACCGACTGCATCCCCGGGACACCTGGCGCTCCACCAGCCCTGGGAGTCTTCTGTCTTCACACTCAGCACAGCCCCTGTGAGGCGAGGAAGGGCAGGCTGGGGTGGGGAGAGGAGGCCTGGGACAATGAAGTCAATGAGCCAGTTGGGGATTAGAGCGAAGGTCCCTTCCTGCTGATTGGTTGCGGGCCCAGTCACCACGTGTCCCTGAGGAGTTGCCATGTGTGGAATGAGGATTTCCTTCCCAGACAAGTATGTCCTTCCCATCCCAGCACATGGCTCAGCAACGTGGCCACCCAGACACTCCGTTGATCTTCAGATGCGAGGTCCTGGCTGTCACACGGTGCACCCACCAAACAGCAAACTTTCTGAGCTTGCAACACTGTTCCCTGATCCCATTTCCAATCCAGAAGGTACAGGGGCCGCAGATCTCTCCTACCTTGAGCAGAGGGGGAGCCTGGGGTAAGGCTCAGGCAGTGAGCACTGGGTATCATAAACTCAGGCTGAGGGGTGTCCTCCTAGGGCCCAGTGCTGGGGCCTTGGCCTCAGCAGTCAGGGACAGAGGACAGACCACAGCCCAGGAGGAAGGCAGATGTGGGTTGCACCT